CGGAGAAGACGGCCGAGAGTGGGGCAGAGATGGTTGGGGCGGAGGAGGGCGAGGAGGAGGGCGAGGCGGAGAGCGAGGTGGCGAGCCGGCAGGAGGTTGCACCACCAGAGGCAGTGGCCTACGCGCAGGCGCTCGCGCAGGCGGAGGAGGGGGCTGAGGCGGAGGAGGAGGAGGAGGAGGAGCCGGCGGCGGCGGAGGGTCCGATGTCGGATCACGTGCGGCGGCGGCGGCTGCGCTCGTCCTCCTTCTGCATCACTTGGCGCGGCCTTCTCGACGTGGAGCCGTGGCTGTCGCAGCTCCGCAAGGCGACGGCCGTGCCGCTCGTCTCGTACTCGATCGTGCACCTCGGCCGCGGCGCGCCACCGCCCTCGTGGGGCGTCGCGCCCGGCGACGCGCCGCCGCAGGCGCTGCGCTCGAAGGGCACCTACGCCGCGGTCAAGTTTGAGCGCGCCGTCGACGTGGCCATGCCGCGCTTTGTGGGGCAGGAGGCGGGCGGAGGCGGCGCCCTGACCCCTTGCGCCGTGGAGACGCACCCGCTGCCCGAAGAGACGCTGAGGGGCTTGTTCGCGGACTGCTGCGCCGACCACGTCATCGATCGGTGGCAGTCGCTGCGCCCGCCGCGCGCGCCGCCGCCCTCGCGGGGGGCCGATCGGACCCCGATGGACGTGAACGCCGAGCAGTACGGCAAGTTCATGGCGCCCGCGGCGCCGCTGCGCACGCCCTTGCGGCCGGAGGAGGTGGAGGAGGCGCTGGCGCAGCACGCGGCGGCCATCCAGGAGGCGCTGGGCGTGCGGTGCATCGACCCGCGCGCGTCGCCCGAGCTCTACACGTGGGCGCCAGATTTGGAAGGCGCCCTCGCCGGCGAGGAGGCGGCGGCGCGGGTCGCCGAGCGCCGCGTCGTGGAGTGGGAGTGCCGGGCGGGGCACCGGTTCGGCGCGAGCGTGCAGTGCCTGATGGCTCAGGTGCAGCGACGGCAGTCGCAGGCCTCGCGCGCGTCGGCGCGCTGGACCAACTCGGACGCGGCGTGCCCGGTCTGCGAGGCGGCCGATCTCCGGCCGAGAGGCGCCAAGCCGAGCCCGAAGGGGTGCGCCTCCCCTCACCCCGCGCATCCTGTGAGCAGGCGGCCGACCTCGGCCAAAAGGTGCTCCTCGAGGCGGGCGTCGCGTGCGAGTCGGCCGAGTTCGTGCCGCGGAGCGGGCAGTGCGAGCACCACGCGCTCTGCATCCGGGGCAAGGGCCACCACGTGGCCCAGCCCTTCGCGTACGGAAGCGGCCATCCCGCCTGGCTATACCCCACCGGGACGACCTCGGGCAGGCAGGGCTGCGTGCTGCTCCGGGGGCCGCGCGGCGGGGGCCAGGCCCGAGTGCCGATGGCCTCGCTGCCGATCGCGGGTGGCGGCGGTGTCTTTAAGCTCACCTTTTGCTGCCGGCTGGGTCACCGGTGGCAGACCAGCGAGCGGCTCTTCAACCACACCGAAGGCGGACGCAACCGCGTGAGGATCGGCAAGTCGGAGCTGCTGAACGCCGGCGCCTACAACGCCAAGCTGGTGGGGCCGCACTCCTGCTGCGAGTGCAAGCTCAAGGGGCAGCGCGACCTGCTGCAGAGGGCGGCGAGCAGCTACTACGGCAGCCGGGACCCGGGGCCCAGCCCGACGGACGCGGCGGCCGAGTGCGAGCGGCTGCTCGCGCTTGACCGCGACGCCAGCGCGTGGGCGGTGCTGGGCCTCACGGGGCACGACCGCGGAGCGGCGCGGCAGCGCTACTACGTCCTCGCCCGGCTGCTGCACCCGGACAAGTGCAGCCAGCGAGGAGCCGCGGACGCGTTTAAGCGCGTCGCCGACGCGTTCAGACGGATCGACGGCTCCTCGAGCTTTTGATCGTACGTTTTGTCCGCCGGCGAGGAGAGTTCAGTACGGTAGGTGGAGTACGGGCCGCACAGGCGAAAGAAAGAAAGAAGGAAAGAAAATAGACAACCCAAGGGCCTGAAAACCTGCGCCCAAATTCTCAATTGTCGGATTTTTTGTGCCACCTGCGGCTGCAGCAGGCCTGAGGCGCCGCCGATTAAAAAAAAGAATCAGTAAGTTTACGATCCTAGATATTATCTCTGGCCTAAGCCAGGCTGCTGCGTCCACCACGCCCGGCGCCGCCGCGTTCACTCCCACTAGGATGCTGCGCGCACATCAGAGGCCCCCACAAACGTTCGATGTAGTGCGAGACCTCATCATTGGCGTACCTTGACTGGTTGAGCAATCCCCTGTAGATCTCCACGGGGGCGTTACGGATCTGCTCGCGTGTCACCTGTAGCTGCTCGCCATAGTGCACGTTGCAGCCCGATGCCCACACGTGCTCCTTGATCCTCTTGAGCGGTGCCAGTGCCGCCTCCGCGTCCACCCATGCCCCCAGATTCACGTGGCCACTGCGCACGAAGGGCAAGGTCTTGCCCTCATACATGCGAGGCTTCCAGCGGGAGATGCTAAAGTCCTCGATCGTGCCACCTTTGAGATTGGCGCCCATCCAGCGGTCCCACAGGCTCTCCTTGTCGCACGTCTTGCACACAAGCTTCTCGCGGCTATCGTGCACGCGCGCGTTCTCGCCCTCCATTCCGTTGCGCCCCGCAGACGTGAAGCGCACGTGGCGCGGCAGATCGTCATACCTCTCTATGATGTAGCGCAGCATGCCATTCACCTCCTGCCCCACGTTGGGGACGGGCCTCACATCCACGTTGGCAGCCTTCAAGGAGGGTGGCACTCCGCACTTACAGTAGACCACCACGCGGTCATACTTGTGTTGCGCCACCTTGTCTATCCATGAGGCCTCCTCCAGGCAGTGAGTCACCACGAGGTCAAACAAGTCGGGCTCGTTGCCACATTCATCCCATACAGGCGCAAGTGCGTGCAAGCCGACCACGCGCCCGTGCGAGCCGTTCAGCTCGCAGCCTGCCGCTCGGCGCTGCTTTCCAGCCCGTTTGCCTCTCCACCCGGAGTTGTCGAGCCGGCGTCGTGCGGCGTCGCCCAGATGGTGGAGGAACGGCAAGGGCGCGCCGCCGTTGGAAGGCATTCCATCGATCGGCGCGTCGAGCGTGTCGGGATGAAGGAGGTGAAACCAGACCGCCTCCATGTAGTACGGCAGCTCCGCGTGACCAGCCTCGACCAGCTCGAGCAGGCTGCGCAGCGCAGGGAGCGGCACGCGACGCAACGCCGTGCGGTCCGCGGCAAACTGCGCCCCTTGCGCGACCTGCAGGACGCGCGGCGGCGGGCGGCCAAAGAGCGAGTCGAAGAACTGGTCAAACTGGAGCATCGGAACCGTGCGCTTGCGCGAAGCGACGCCGCGAATGAACTGCTGGAAGTCGTTGGCCTCCCACGGCAGCCAGTGGTCGCCGTCGCGTCCAAGAGGCAGCCGCGAGGGCGGGCGAGGGACCCTCGCATTCGCCGCGTCGGGTGTAGCGGCGAACGCGCTGCGAAGAGAGGCGCCCTGGAGACCGCCTCCGAGCAGCATAGTCACGGGCATGAAGGTCTCGCCCAGCTCGGGGTCCATGTAGTCGGCGACCGAGACGTTGAGGAGCAAGTGGCCGCCCTGCAGCGGTTCCCCAAAGAAGCCGCACGTGGGCTCGCGGCCGTGCATGAATACCGTGCGGTCCGCGAGGCTGTCATAGCGCGAGACGAGGTGATACAAGAACGCGTGCGCCTCGAGCCCCACGTTGGGCAGCACGATGGCGCCCGGCGTGTCGCAAGCGCCGTGGCAGTAGACGGTGCGGACTGCAGCGTATGCCTCGCTCCAGCTCAGGTCCTCGCGAGCGCCGCGCACAACCACGAGCTCGAGCTGGCTCTTGTCGATGCGGCCGGCGCGAATGGAGGCCAGGCGCGCCGCCTCGGGGCAAGCCACACACGTGCCGTCGTCTGCCGGCGGGGCGGCTCGCGCGCAGCGCCGTGTCGCGCCGATGACCTGACCGCCCAGCCGCGCCGAGCCATCGGCAAGGCAGCACAGCTCATTCAGCCGTGGCCATTTCTGGCAGGCAGCACGGCGCAGATTGCAGAAGTTGGGATCGGCGTCCCAGTCTTCGCGCGTTTGGCCGGGATGGTACTCAGCGGGCGCACGCTGAGGCGTGCATGGCGCATCGCTACACTCGCACGGTGTCCAGGCGCATACGAGGCTCGCGAGCGATGGCTGCCGCGCGACTAGCCCAGGCACAAGACGCATGCTAGCAGCCAACTGGCCCGGGTAGCGGCATGCGCCAGTAGAGGCGTCGACCTTGCAATACGCGACTGGAGCCGCCGCGTAGCTGACGTTGTTGGCTTGTAGCCATAGGAGCAGGAACCGCTCTGAAACCCACCCGGCAGCACATGCGGTGGAATCATCGGAGAGAGCCTGGCGCCAGAGCGAGCTGGCCACTCTGAATCCACGGCCTCCGCCGATGAGCATATTGTCTGTGAGCCCGCCGCCCCAGCGATCGCCATCGGGCACGATCACCTCATCTGGTCCGAAGCTCCTCATCATTGCAGGTGGCAGAGGATGAAAGATCTGTTGGTCTGTCCGTGTGTACGCAAAGGTGGCGTAATCAGTTTGGGCTCGCTGTATCATTGCCAGGCACGCGTCCTGCTGTAGCCAAACCGTGGCCTGGCTCCTTGTCGCTCCTGGAAGCCCCTTTCCCAGACAGTCACGTGCACTTTCGAGCGATCGGCGAGTTGCCTCGCGGTAGAGGGAGCTCGTGGGTTTCCCTACCCGACATCGGCCGCTCGCCCGGGGGCCCAGCAAGAGCTCGCACCTTGCTTCCGTGTGGTGCTCTGCCTGGGCCTCGATCACCGCATAAGCATCAGCGTCGAGTGGATCGAGCATGTACTGCCGTATGGAGCTCGCGGACTGGTCGAGACTCCGCCACGCCCCGAGCACGCAGACGGCCGTGCGTGGCTTAGCGGCGTCCGAAACTGCTGCGGTCTCGAGGTCGGAGGTCTCTTGTGGGAGCGGTATTGAGTTCAACGCGTAGGCCTACAGTTGAATATGCCAACGTCAGGGTGTGAATACGGTGTGTGAGTGTCTATTCTAAGCGCGTATGCCTCGTCATCGAGTTCGGCCGGCGTGAATGACTTTGCGAACGTTGCGGGAGGCGATGTCGGCCACGGGGAGTCGTACCGCTGCGAGGAGAGAAGCGCGGAGGTGGCAGAGTACGAGGAGTGCGCAAACCCGGCTCCGAGGCAGAACAGTGCAAGGATGCCAAAGAGGCGGAGCAAGTTGTAGGACTTTGGCCACGAGAACCGGCCGGCGGCAGAGCCCTCGGGCGTGGTATTCGTGAACAGGAGGGCGCGAGACTGGCCGTGTGAGAGCGGCGAGCGGGGGAGGAGGCCGCATACGCAGGCGGCGAGCACCGAGTCTGTTGTCGACGGCGTGGAGCCGCCGGTCGCCTTGCCGTTGCCACCGAGGATGCCCTCGTTGCCGTCCGTTCCGAGCAGGCATCCGAACCCGTTCTTGCCGCCGACCGGGGCGATGCTCTTGGTGCGGACGATCGGGGCGGACGCGCCCTTGCGCCCGTTCTTGCGGCGCGGGTTCGACGGGGTGGTCCAGTCGGCGATGCCCTGCGCGCGCGCAAGCGGTGGGTGCGTCTATAGTTGAGCTCCGCGTGTGCACCGCAGAATGCAAGGCGCCCACCGCCGGAGCGGGCTCCTCCGCTGGAAACTCCTTGGCCGCCGAGACGGCCCAGTCGGCGTCGCCCTACGCAATGAAGGCGGGGGGCGGGTGGAGGAGCGGTCGGCAGACGCGCGCCGCAGAATGCGAGGCGCTCGCCGCCGGGGCGGGCATCTCCGCTGGAAACTCCTTGATCGACGGCAGCGGCGCCGGATCGTCTTCGGTGACCGGCATGGAGACAAGAGGGCCGCACCTACTCGCAGCGTGAGCAGCTTGAGAGCCCAGCCCGCGAGAAGCCGCGGCGGCGCCCCTCGCCCCACCTGCTTTTGGACCTGCGAGCAGGCAGCGACGGCGGACGAGCGTCAGCATCGTAAAATGGGATGAGCATGGCGTGGGCTCGCTTCGGGCGTCGCGGGAGCGCAGTAGGCATGGAGGCGATTCGCAGCTGCGCGCTGGGCCGTCGCTCTGCCCGCGATCCGGGTGTGCACCACATTCGTGTCGCTCGAGCCTCGGAGCGAGCCGCGCAAGGCGTTCGCAGCAAGGGGGAACAGGCACGAGCGCGCTGCAGCGCATGGGATGTGGGGCGAAGCGGCCGGGCACGCTCGCGCAAAGGCCAACACGCGCCGCGTCGCGCGGGGCGCGAGGATAGTCGAGGGACAGAACCTGAGTCGCAACCGTCAACCAGACGCCGTGGCTTTGTGCTGTGAGTGAGGCTTCTCGAGAGGCTTGTGTTTTTAAGAATTCTACTAGCGTCCTTGGGTCGGGCTGTTGCTGGCACCCTCGTCCCTGTGCTCAGAGAGATTTTTAGCAATACCAAACAACTCTAACACTCACACGTCATTTGGGGCCTGGAGCCCTGTTCACGCGCGCGCGAGACGTGCAGACAGGGTTGCCAGGTGAGAGCGAATGGCGCGGTTCACGCCTCGCACAACAGAGAGAGAGATGCGATCTGCATGGTGGGACATAAAAGAAAGCGAGTACTTGGGCGAGTAGGCCGTGCGGTCAACGCTGCCGCGTGCGACTTTGCGCGTGAGGCGGCGCAGCTTGAGAACGGCGGCGGGCGAGAAGCCGCCGCCGAACGTCTCGTGGAGCAGCAATGTTGAAGTTGTTGCGCTTGACAAAGATCGCGTCGTGGTAGAAACCGCGATGCGCCTTGACGTAGCCGTGGCCGTTCTTATGGTCGAAGGGTTGGCCGGGTTGCCCGCGCGCTTGTGTTGTGTGTGTCTGAGGGGTGGCCCGTCTACCGTCTACCGGTGTACTC